CTTGAAAGGTTAAGAACTACTGGTTTACATGACAGTTGTAGCTCAGATTTCTGATTTAGGAGATTTAGATAGTTTAGAAAATGTTCAGGGAAGCATCCCAACTTCCAGATTATTTTCCAAATCAAACCTCTGAAGCTTCTGGGGTTCATTCATCACTAGTTTGGGGCCTGATCCAAAGCTTGTTGAAGTTAATGGAGTCTTTCTAGTTGAGTTCAATGAACACTGAATCAGGCCTTTACAGAATATTGCCTATTTGTTAAACCTAGCCAGCAGCTTGAACAAGCTTTTTCTTCTTACATGATTATATGAAAATTGCTTGATTTTTTTTTAAAATGGGACATAAGGGCTCCATATTAGGTTGATGTTGAGTGTTGTCTGCTACACTGTTAATCAGATGAGCTTTTATTTTTCTTCTAATGAAGTATTTTCTTTTAGTATTCATTAGTAATCTTAACACACAAGGAATACATCTCTTTGCCATTAAGAGTCATCCTTCTGTAAAACATAATCCCAATGTTCTTAGGGACCTGTCAAAGAGAGTCAGAGAGATTGTCAAAATGTCCAAACTGTGACTTAAGGGAATCTATGAACATTCCAATAGTCATCTTTTCTGATACATTTAAAAATAGTTATCTGGATATATGTAGAGAGAGGGTTGTATGAAAATATCCTCCTATCTGTCTTGCTTTAAATGTCATTTTTACAAGAGAAAACCTTTTCTAATGAATGCCATCCATACCTATGAGAGGTGATATTGATAGATGTGTCACCTTTTTATCACAAAAGCGCTTGATGTTAGATGTTAGGTTTTATAGGGAAAATGTTAACCCTTTTGATTTTAATGTGGAAGGTAACCACTGAAGTTGTTTTTGTCTTCTATATAGTGGAAAAGGTGATTTTTTTCCCCCCATGTATGTTTGAGTTTCATCTTTAGATGAATGTTTACCTTTTGTACATTGGTTCATATGCTGACAGGAAAGCTTTTAATGCATATTTTTATTTGTATTAGTAATATTGTATGCATCCTCATCCTCATAAATAACTTTTAACTTGTATAGATCTTCCTTTCATTTGAGGATCTATATAATAAATTAGACACATCATCTCTGTAAAGACAATAAATATACAGATTTTACAGAGGGATAAACTCATGCACAGAGAGGTTAAGTGATTTGCCCAAATCCATACAATGAGGTGGTGACATAACTGGAAGTAGTCTTGGAACCTTGACATCCCCATCCAATCCCATGCTGCTAGTTCTTAAATAGGCAGCAATTCTATAAAACTCGTAAGCCATCAATGTATAGTTAAACAGAAGTTATGGGCTTGATTCTGAAACTACTAGGTGAGGGTCTTTGGCCCATGTTATGCATGTAGCTGAGCTGCGACTGCTAGTAGCAGATATCCCCAATGGCCAGTGATGGGACACTAGATGGGGAGGGCTCTGAGTTACTACAGAGAATTCTTTCCCAGGTGTCTGGCTGGTGGGTCTTGCTCACATGCTTGGGGTTCAACTGATTGCCATATTTGGGGTCAGGAAGGAATTTCTCCCTAGATCAGATTGGCAGAGACCCTGGGGTCTTTTTTGCCTTCCTCTGCAGCAAGGGGCATGGGTCACTTGCAGGTTTAAACTAGTGTATATGGTGGATTCTCTGTAACTTGAAGTATTTAAATCATGAATTGAGGACTTCAGTAACTCAGCCAGAGGTTAGGGGTCTATTACAGGAGTAGGTGGGTGAGGTTCTGTGGCTTGCAAAGTGCAGGTGGTCAGACTACATGATCATGATGGTCCCTTCTGGCCTTAAAGTCTAAATGGCAGTAAATTAATCAGTGTTTGGCCATGTGAACTCTGATCCAATTAAGAGTAGGACCATCTTCCACCAGGTTAGAGAAAAGGGAAATTGGAACAATCAGGGAGATGCCAGCAATCTTTAACTTAGCAGGGCCCATTTCTATTTTCTTTTACACCCTAAATTCCCATAGAAGAAGGAAGTATGGTTAATTCTGTGAAAGTAGTCTAGGGATGGAAGCTTGTTCTAATGAGTTCAAAGTAGCTTCAATGGCTAAAGATTGTAGGCTATGCAAATAAGATGTTGTGAAGACCAACAAAATATTTCAGTAGTCTGTCTTTTAAAACTTCAGCTAATATGTCTGCCTGCACATGGAATGACAATGAAAACCAGTTTGTAAATGTAGACAAAAATCTCCGTAATCTTTTTACAAACCAATCAATCTTCACATTGAAGTAGTAATTACACTACTATTGGATGTTTCCATTTAAGAAATGATTCAGAAAAAACTCAGACATATTTGCAGATTGCAGTAAATTACCCAAATGTAATTGTACTAATGAATATCCTAGTTAAAACTGAAAATATTTTAGTGATCCTGGTAGACACGCACATATACCCTGGTCCATTTTTGTGGAAACTTTGTCACTAGAACACAGTGACAGATGCACAATATGTTCAATATCATCTTATTCTCTATGTTATGCAAGTTGATAGGAATTATGCATTATGCAATTTTATAAAGCAGTTTGTGGTCACCATGTGTTATTAAGAACTGCTGTGTGTACAGAAGAACTGCATCTGACACACGCTGCAAAAGTTCTAGACTATCAGTTTGCTTGAAATGTCTGTATCCCAGCCTAGCCACCATTCTTTGGGAATAAAGAGCATCAACTATTGGACATTTTAGTCCGTTTATCAATCATAAAGGCAAATAATCATATTTATTTTGTCAATCTAATGACTGAATCTTAGTATTCTTTCATTATACAGTAGCCACCCATACAAAGTAACTATACAATCTATAACTACCTTAATATATTGTGCTACTTTCTGTGTCGAAGAAAGATTCTTTTGGGCCCTCTTCATGCTAGATTTATGTTCTCTGAAGATTTAAGTATATTAGTATGGGTAATCTCACTCCATTACCTTCTATAAAACAAGATCTGTGACTTCCTCCCTGGTGTGCATTTACCATATCGAAATGGGCTACTATTTTCATATTTAACTCACTGGTAAGTCATAAAATCAGCTTAAGGAGTGTCCGCCCAAAGAACTGAACATACAAGATGATAAAAGGGAGCTTTTATTACTCATAACAGTATTGATGTTATATTAAACATTGAACATTGACTATTGTTTTGAATTGCAGCCTTGGCACCCTCATCCAGCCTCCCTTTCAGCTTTGAAATAGACCAAATTCAGAAATTTACAAGGCTTTTAAAAAACCTAGATGAAGCAATTAAATCTCCAGATTGGAGGATGTGATCCTTTAAAGGCCCTTTACAGAATATCAAAAGAAAGAGAGGATTATATTTAGCAGGTGTGAGAGCCCACGCAGGACATTTCATTGAGAAAGAGCCTGATATTATCCAGCAACAAATACTTAAATTAATATAAAACATCTTGGGGGGAAGTGGATTTTCTTTTCTTTTTTGAAGTATTAGGAAATTATAACACTTTGTGGCTCCTTCAAACCTGAAAGGTCCAAATATACATGAGTCAATGGTATGTTAAAAAAAAAAAATAAAAAAGGGGGCGGAGGGAGTTTAAAACAAAGACTTTGGTAGGACTGGGGAGACAAAGAGTGGGGGTAACTGACCATTTGCCTTAAAGCAAGCAGAGTAGCTCTGCATTTTCTTTTTCTGTCTCATTCATAGATCTGCACCACTACCTAATGGATCAAACCAGAAACAATGGACCACAGACTAAGCCGCTAACACAGCCTATGGCATAGCCTTCTGAATGGAGCTATGGAGTCAGATTATTCTTAATACAGGGCTAGGTGTTCCAGGGAAGTGAGAGTGGCGAACTTAAAAGAACCAGATTATTGACAGCTGCCAAACCAGGTTTGTGTCTGCGTACTCCACCTTGATCATGATGGAAGCATCATCTTTCTTTCTTCTGTTTTCTGGATCCCTTGAGATGCAACCTTTCATTACAGAGTTAGTGTATTCTGATTGGTTTGTCTCTATCTAGATAACATACTCAATGATCTAAAGTGGAAAACTGGACTCTGTGGTTTTGTGGGGAGATGTACCCTCCTCTATTCCTTTATTCACCAGTGTGAGGTCCTAAATTTTAACCAGTTGCTATTTTTTGCCTTTCTTGAAAACAGTGAATGTAATGTCCCAAAGCCCCATGTGTTCTTGTTATAACTTAATAAAGCCACTCAATCGACACTTAACTATCTGTAGCACTAATAGTGTTTAATAGAAAGGAAGGGCCAATTAAATAACACTTCTTACTGACAGATAGGCCTAATCCAACGTTTTATTTTGCATTCAAGCTACCCACAAAGATGCATTATCTGATCTCCATAAATTGATTAAAGTGATTCAGGTCTGGGATAGATGTGTCCTGTCCTGTCCCACCTTTTGTTTAACTTTTACCTGTATTTCCTTACTCACTATTAACCTGATGTGGACACATTGAAAGCTGTCCTTTGAGACCTAAATAGCCTGTGCTTACTGTTTTGTCAGTAATTCAAAAATCTATGATGTGCTAAAACCAATCTCACTCATATGACTAGTCTTAGTGGGAAGGACACTTGTGAGACGTCTAGATTCATGCATTGCCAAGTACCGTTTGGCATCTACAGAGTTAAAGGTCCTCGGAACCTATAAGATCTGGTCTAGGTAGTATCTAAAATCAGTACTAGACCCACTTTATTTTTTCCTTAAAAACAGGAAATGGAGCCCTGAAGGCTTTTTAACTGGAGAGAGAGAGAGAGTTGGGAGGGGGTATACTAGCTCTGCCCATATCCAGCCCTGAGCCTGACCCAGACTTGGGGGTCTCTCTGTGTGGGTTCCCCCCCATTATTTTGGCAGACTTTTTGGAATGTCTGGGAGCTAAGGGCTTTGCTTCATGGAGCAGAATTCTGAAGCAAGAAAAAGAGAAAGTTATAGACTAAACCACAGAAATGTAAACATGTCTGCAGCTAAAATAACTCCACTTTCATTGAAAACACTCCTCACTCACAATCAGACTTCTGTGTGCTATGCTCAATAAAACTGCACGTTAATAGTAAGCAATTAATACATTATGTAGCCCTGCTTTAAAAACCGAGACACCTTTAATTATGATTATTGTTATGATCATTAAAGGAGTACTCGATTTTCTTCTTTATATGCTTTGCTCTCGATTCCGACTGTTAGCTGGGGTTCCTAGCTGGGAAAGTGCAGGAGAGGTGTCTTTCAGAACATGAGTGAGAGCAGCATGAAATGAACAGAAGGAACATTGCACAAGATAAAGTAGGGAAAATGCAGTTTCAGCACGGAGATAAGAGACAAAAGACACCTCGGTAAGGACCCTTTTTAATTTTAAAATTATTTTTTGTTTTGTTGAGGGAGGGGGTAAGTGTGTGGTGGTGGTGCTGGTGCTGGTGGAGGGCAGGTTACAATCTAAATGACACTGAGGAGACCCTCACGTGGTTTGATGGATCTCACTTCACCCCTTTGTCTTTTTGTCCTGTTTTTTTTCATCCTTTCCATTACTGATGTGTTCTTCTCGGGGTTTTAAAATTAATGAACTGTCCTTAGCATAGCTGTCTCTGCGTTCCCTTCACTTCCTCAACTTTAACATCTCACCCCGCGCCCAGTGCCTTCACGCTCCCCTCCTGTCTCTACAGGAGTGGAACCATGTTATGACCAGCTTAAATAGTTGCCCTGCATCCCACCCCTCACTTTCATTGAATCGAGGTATCTGTTTTTTACACTTTAACGTTGGCTTTCCCTCGGGTCCGGGCGCAGTCTTTGCAGACAGCCATGCCTTGTAAAGTTCAGTGTTCCGGGGGGAAATACCCCGGACGCCTGAGTTCTCTCCTCCAGCCCAGTCTGGTCAGTTTTCAGCTTTCATTCCTCCCCCCCGCCCCTTCTGAGCACCCGGCTCCCCGGCTGGAGGGGACACCCCGAGCCCGCTCCTTCTAGCCCATCAGGTCTCTCCCACACACCCACCCACCCCATCTGCTGGGTCCATGCCCACCCGGGGCCGCGTGCTCGGAGCGCCCGGGGCTGGCCGCGGCGGGGCTGGTCCCCCCGCACGGAGGGAGCTGGGGCGAGCCTGGGCAGTTGCCCTGCTCCATGATTGGAGCAGGAGAGAGGCTCGCTGAGCCCGGGGCCCGCGCTCTGGGCCGAGCCCATTCCGAGTGAAGTGAGTCAGTGCAGCCTGCGGCTCCCCGTGCACTCACTCACTCACTCACACGCTGGCGGCGGCGGCGGCCACTGGCTTCACCCGCAGCCCCGGACTCGCCCCGTGCCCGGCCTCTCCCGGTAAGTCCCTTCTCCTTCCCGCTCGGGTCGCTTCTTGGGAGGAGGAGGAGGAGGAGGGGGGTACACGGGACGCGGCCTCGGCTGCCCCCCCAGCGCCGCCGCAGCAGCAGCTGGGGCTGGGGTGGGCAGGGAAAGTTTGACAGGGAGCAGGGCGCAGTTCCCCTGCCTCTCGGGGAGCGCCGGGCGGGCGCCTGAGGGGCTGGCTCAGCCCGCTGGCAGGCTGGAGATGCCCCCCGGGGCGGCACAGGGCCGGGAGCGCTGGCAGCCAGGCGCACTCACACTGGTTGCACTTCCGCTGGGACAAGCGGCGGCTCAGCCTGGCCACCGCCTGCCTTGTGTCAGCCCAGCCCCGCGCAGGGTTCAGCGGGGGCTGCTGTGCGGGCGCTCGCGGCTGTGGGCGCAGGCTGGCCGCAAAGCGCAGGGCCAGGTGCTGCTCCAGGAGGCTGGGCTGGTTGCGAGCCGGGTGACAGGCTCCGCAGGGAAAGTTTCCTGCCTCTGGGATGGGTGCGTGTGTGTAATGTGGGTAACGTTACTTCCCCAGGTGTGTGTGTGGGGGCGGGGAGATATCCCAAAAGAGGTTAAGGATCCTCTGAAAACGTGCTGCCACCAGTAAGGTCATGGGGATAGATTCCCTGCTTATTGGTAAAACATGTGGAGCCTTCCGTAGGGCAACCGAAACATGGGACGTGTGCTCGGTGGTGTTTGCCCGGCAATAAGGGTTGAATTAAGATGCTGCCTTGGTTTTGGGTGAATGGCTGAAAGACATCCTTCGGAGGGAGTTTCTATACAGCCCATGCATGTGTGTATAACGCACAGCATATAGCTGTGAAATATGCGCCATCATCACCTTGGATTGATTATACGTGGAATAGTTGCAAGAGAAGTTTTGTGCCTTCAGAGTTGCTTGTTATTACTGATATTTCTCAGTAATCCCACATCTTTCCACAGCTTTACCTTTTCAAGCACTTGTATGCTTTGAATATAAGTGCTTATTATTTTTGGTTTGATCATTAGATATACTGAATGGTAGCAGGAGAAGTATCTCTTTATGTCCACTGTCCCCACACTTAACCTTTTAAACTTTCTTTAGTTTTAATTTCTTCATACACTTTATTTTCTGCCTCGCTGCTGGCTTTGTGGCTATTTCCCTATGATTTTTCCATATTTTGTTCCTTTTCATAATAGCTCCAATATTTTTCTGTCCTCCTACAATCAATGATTCAATTAACTGGTATCAATGGTCCCTTTTAAGTTGTACAGCTCTTGCAAAAGTTAAATGGTGTTTTAAATGTATTTTCCTAAACCTTTAATTAAACTGAAATTATCTAGTGAGATTCAGAATTGGTTGTGGTACATTTTAGATTAAATGCACTGATATAAATATATTTAGTGATCAAATGACTTTCTAGCAGTATTTTGAATGTAAATAATCATAGTTACAAAACTAAAACTGTAAGTTAAAATTAGCATAAACTTCCATTCATGACTGTATTTACTATGAATCTACAGAACAGCAAGTAAACTTTTACTTTTTAGTCAAAATTCTAATCCTACTGTATATTAACAAAACATTAGTGTTGGAGTAATAGTTTGTAGTTTACATTCTGTCCATGTAATTTTGAGTTCACTAGGGAAAGTGGGATACTTAGGTCTATGGACTGCACATGGAGAACTGTCACATTCCTTAGTTTTAACCCTTTATCCACTTGCATAGTTTCATTCAAGCAAATGGAGCAGACTGAACAGACTGCTTCTGGCTAAGACAAGAAATCAAAACTTTAATGATATTAGCTTAGGTACTGTTGAACTCATATCTGATAAATACATTTTGATTAACTGGGGAGGGTAGGGACTTTAAATTGAGTGTTTGACAGCTTCTTAATTAAAATAAATAAGAAAAGGCAAATCAAACCGATACACGATTAAAGTGATGTGATACAAAGATATTTTGGTGTTGAATATCTTATCCATTTCTTAAAAGAAGACTTTTTTTTAAAATATTGGGATATTGTAAATTAAGTTATAATTCAGGCCTTATAGTACTGTTTCATACACACATGCATGCAAACACTGGCTAACTTGCTACAAATTTGTGCAAATCTTTGCAGGAAAAAAATCCTCAGCTCAAAAAGCATTTCAGGATTTAGTTTTGAATAGCATCCACCCCCACCTTCCCCCAATTTATTCCCAAAGGTTAAACAAATCATATAGTACTGGATAGAGTTACATGTTACAAGAATTTTATAAATGATCTGTCAGTGTAAGCTCTAGATGTGTTTAGTGTGTTTTTACCTTAGGAGTTTAATGCTGCTAAAATGTTACTCAGTTTTGATTATATGCTGTGCAGTCTTTAGTCCCCAAATACATACTTTAACTATGTGTCTTATATATTAGACACATCTTTCTCCTTATACTTTTGTAGTAGTGTCTCCTCATCCCTTTTATTTCTCTTCTTGAACTACTTTTAATGAAGTTTGCTTTGAATTCTTTGTCATACTTTCAAACAATACAAGACTTTAATTCCATAGAGGGATTTAAGTGAAATAAGCCATGAGAGCAAAATGCAGGTTGTCACAAATTTTAAAATGGACTTTGTTGTTGCAAATTTGTTATTTGTATATGATCAGGTTAAAATTTTTCTATCTAAAATGACAATTTAATTTCCATAGCTAAAATCATGGTTGCTTTGAAAATATTCTTTGTCATATTGGTATTATGACATGAGGCACTGATGTGACTTTGCTATCTGCTGTTATATGGAAAACTTATTTTGTGCATGCACTGTGCACATGTGTAAACAAATATAAAATCCTTGGATAACAACCTGTGATCCAACAACATCGCATGAGCAAAATAACTTACCAGTGATGAGGCAAATCCCTTTCTATTCTACTCCACACAAAATGCCAACTTTCCTCTACCTAGAAGTAAGGCTAATTTGGTTCTCTCTCACCAGAGTAGTTCATTAATGATGCACTGTCAGTAGTGTCCAGGTACTCAGCAAAGCACTGTTTCATCTCGTTCCTAGTTATATGCACTCAATTAAGTTAGGGCTAAAGAACTCCAAAATCTTTTGCAGTCATGATGGTATCTGGGCATACAAAAATGTTACATTTCTTTCCCCTCCTTTTATGTGTGTGTGCAATTCTTAAATACTGGAGAACTTAACAGAATGGGTTACCAGAGCCTTTTAATGTAGTGAGACCGAAAAGGACCTTTTAATTGAAAACATCTTTTAGAAATGTTTTAATTACTGTGGAACTGGTTATTTTCACGGTAAATACATTTTTCTGGAAAAGGCAAATGGACAAATGTACGGTTATGCCTTACTTTCTTTAATCATGCAAATACTGTAGTTATGTGGAAGTCAATGGGACCTTCTCCAGCTAGAAGTTGCTTACAGGGAGTGTTTGCAAGAAAGGGTCCGGTGAGCCTGATACAGCTTCCATTGAGGTCATTGGTGCAAGATCAAGCCCTGCATATGTAATGCTGCACAGCGCATTTTTCTAACATGCAGTTGCTCTTTTAGTCTATATTTTATATTTGCAATTTTACCATCTGTTAATTTAAAGAGATTTTGTTCATAAAATACATTTTAGCAAGACACTTTCAGTATAATGTTCATCCATGGGTTGAAAAAAATTACCTTTCATGCGATAATGTCTTACTCTGGTTTTCATTATAGCCTGCAGCTATTCACTTTCACAACCAACAGAGTAATTTTTTCCCTCTTATGGTCTTGGTCCTGCACTTCTTACTCAGGCAAAGCTCCCACTAACGTCAAACATCTCTGAGAATTTTGTCTGAATGTAGAATTCAGGTTTGAGTTCTACGGGTTCACATTTAATTTGGCATTCTGCAAGATGATGAAGTAGGAGGGCAAAATTTAATATGCTTACTTGGTAGCATAGTAAGACTAGTGTAGGTAGAAAGCTGGCAGTCTAAAATTACTTTGCTAAATTTAAATGTAAGTAAAAAATAGGCAATAGAAAAAAAATTAAAGGGTATGTCTAAATATGGAGCTGTGGACATA